GGGAGGCAGGCAGGCAGGCAGGCAGGGAGGTAGGTAGGTAGGTAGGTAGGTAGGTAGGTAGGTAGGTATGTGTGCATGTGTATGAGCATCCATCTGTGTTCTGCTTGCTTGATAGCTTAACCGCCGCATCTGGTTGACGCGATGTAGGGGCTGCAGTCTTCAGGGCACTTTGACACGCCTCAGCCCTTGGCACAAAGCTGGGTTCCCAAGTTCCCAGACTCGCCTGACCAGGCAGGGCAAGAGCTTGAAGCTGTTGCACGTCGGGATACGATGCTCCTTGTGAAAACCAGGGTCCAGTGCTGGGATGGGCGAATCTTTCTCCCGGCCGCGAGCTTGATCCGATTGGATTCTGGGAGACTCAGGGCCTCCGTACCCTTATCGACGAGGTCATTGCAATCCTGCTATGACCCCGAGGGCACAGCCAACATAATCCGGAAGAAGAAGGCGCCCTTCTTTTCCGCATGTCAGTCCATATTCGCGGTGGGACTGCAGAGCCCTAGGCACAGCGGGCAGCGCTGAACCACTACGAGGAGTCGGCAACCGTGTTGCGTGTGCATCTTTCAAGGACAATTGCGTCTGCAGTACGTGCGAGGAGCTGCTGAAGCGTGTCGCAGATCGAGACCCCTCTGCGACGGCAGAGGCATTGCATCTGCATGTCGGAACAGTCCCGTCTTCACATTTGCAGAGTTTGTGCTGACCAGTACTCTAAATATAGAGCACTGGTCGTCTCGTTCCTCTTGTTTGCCCAGCCAAGCCGGTTTGCATCCTGACAGGTGATGCAGTTCGATCAAGAAAATAGAAATAAGGCGCCGTGCTTATGCTGTACATTCCGGCTTTTCGAGTATCGTCGACACGAATCTGGAAAGTGGCTCCCGCGCAAGTCTGTTTATCCTGCTGACAGGGAGTTGGCGAATTCAAGGGCAAGTTCTGGCAGGAGTTGCAACAGCATGATGACTGGTGCCGGGCCCAGCGAGCAGAAGGATAGCAGTGACAGTCGCGGCAGACTAAGCAGTAGCTGTAGTGGTAGCGGTAGAGGTAGCGGCAAGTGTGGGGTGGAGGCCGCAGCAGCAGTAGCAGTGGCAGTGCCAGTGGCAGTAGCAGTAGCAGTAGCCGTAGCGTGAGGTGTGGCAGTACCAGCGTCGTTGTCGTCGTAGCAGTAGTATTAGCAGTGGTTGCAGTTGTGCTGCATTGCTTGAGGTCATTGCAAGTGATGTGAGCATTCCGAGCCAATGCAAGTTGCAGCGCTTCTACAGATTCTACTGCTCTTACGCTTGGATTTGCCCTGGACACGATCGTCTTTTTTCTGTCGCTCGTGTGGCCACCATTCAAACTCTTCTGGTTTCCATTCATACCTATCCGTACATAGGGGCTGACGATCTCCATGGCCCTAAACCACTACTGCTGCTGCTCCTACTTCCACTACGACTACGACGACGACTACTGCTACTACGAAGTTTTTTGTCATGATGCTACTACTACTGCTGCTGCTGCTGCTACTACTACTACTACTACTACCACTACTTCTGCGACTAGTAATACTAGTACTACTACTAGTACTACTACTAGTACTACTACTGCTACTATTCCTGCTGCTGCTGCTACTACTGCTACTGCTACTACGACTGCTCCTACTACGATTACTGCT